TGGGGTGAGTGGGGGCTGTGGGTGAGTTGGGGTCTGTGGGATGAGTGGGGGCTGTAAGGTGAGTGGGGACTGTAGGTAAGCTGAGGATCCAGGAGGTGGCTTATCACTCACCCTCTTGCCAGGGGGCCCGGGGGCGCCAGGTTCCCCAGAAGCACCAGGCGGACCCTGGAGGAGACAAGGACACCAGTTGTGGTCTCAGCTAACGTTGTTTGAGCCTGACTGTTTTAGGATGCCTAGGACCAGAGGACAGCCTTCCCCAAGCATCACCCCAGCACCAGGCACTCCCACCTCCCACCTACTCCCTCAAGCTGTTCACATTCCTGGGGGTCCCCAGAGAGATGAAGCAGAAGCATCTGCAGGGACCTTGGGTACCCCACCAGCTCACTCCCCTGCCCCCCAATTTGCTCACTCATTAGCTCCCCAACCACCACTCTCAGCACCACACCCTCTGTTTTCCCACTCACCGGTCCCCCAACATCACCAGGGTCTCCCTTCTCCCCTGGGGAACCATCTATGCCCTGCAGAGGCGGAAGAGAGAGTTGGGAGGGGTGATGAGAGTATGTGAGAAATGGGGTGGGCTGGGAGGCAAAAGAAGGTTATTGGTTCCACTGTCAGGGTCCAGGTCTGTGGGGGTGGGGAAATGGGGACAGAATTAGGAAATATGCCAGGATTGGGGAGGGGGTCACACTCACTGAAACTCCAGGGTCTCCTGGGGGCCCTAGATCTCCGGGGAGCCCCGTGGGTCCCTGGAACACAGAATGATTAATAATCACATCTCTGAATTGTAGAGCAATCATGCATTTATGGAACAGATCGACTGTATCCAGGAACAGTTTGGTTTCTGGGGACACATTAGTGAACAAAACATAAAATCCTGGCTTGGTAGAGCGAACATTCTCGTGTTTCATGGGTGCAGGCGCTGAGCTAGGAATGCTGCACGCATGATCTCACTGCCGCCTCCTCACAGCCTCCCAGCTCGGGTCTCACAGAGAAAACTGGCCATTCATTTGTCTATTCATTCATTCATCCAACCATTCATCCATCCATCCATCCATCCATCCATCCATCCATCCATCCATCCATCCATCCATCCATTCATCCAGCCATTCACACACTCAGAGAAGGGACACTCCAAACAATGCAATTCAAGTCGAGGTCCCACAGATGCTAAAGCCCCTTCCTTACCTCCACCCGCCCCAAACCCTACTGTGGTGGCAGAAGGGCCTCAACCTTCGCCTCAAGGCCAAATCCCACATCCACCCCAAATCTGACCCAATTCAACCTTAACCTTTACAACAACGTTAGAATGATCTGCTGTGAAACCAACTTTCATGCCATTCAATGATGTATAACCACTGCACGTTTATGTTTCATTCACACATTTATTCACTAATTCACTCATCCATCTATCCATTCATTCATTCACTCATCTCTTCAGTCATTTTGTTCACCTATGGATGTATCCATTCATTCATACTCATCTCTTCAGTCATTTGTTCACTTGTGGATCTATCCATTCATTCTTGCATCCATTCACTCATTCACTTACTCGTTTGTCCATTTGGCCACTCATTCATTCATCCATTCATTCACATTCATGCATCTATTAATTTACTTACTCATCCATTAATTTACTCATTCATTCATTCATTCACTCATTTATTCGTACACATTTATTCATTCACATATACATATATTCACTGATTTATTCATTTTTCCATTAATTAATTCACTCATTCACCCATTCATTCACTCGTTCATCCATTCATTCACTCATTTATTCATCCATTTATTCACTCACGTATTCATCCATCCACTGAATTATTCACTTGTCCTTTCATTAATTCACTCATTCATCCATTCATCCACTCATTCATTCATCCATCCATCCACCCATTAATTCATTCATCCATGTTCTGGGGGTTGCTCATGAGATCAGTAAATTAGAGGATGCAATCTCTGGCTAGAAGTTTGGGAGAGCTTCGGCCGGGCTTACTGGCTCACGCCTGTAATCCCAGCACTTTGGGAGGCCGAGGCAGGCAGATCACGAGGTCATGAGATCGAGACTATCCTGGCCAACATGGTGAAAGCCCATCTCTACTAAAAATACAAAAATTAGCTAGGTGTGGTGGTGCGTGTCTGTAGTCCCAGCTACTCGGGAGGCTGAGGCAGAAGAGTCACTTGAACCCCTAAGGCAGAGGGTGCAGTGAGCTGAGATCATGCCACTGCACTCCAACCGGTGACAGAGCAAGACTCCATTTCAAAAAAAAAAAGTTTGGGAGGGCTTCAAGTACACTCAAGTGTCCCCTCCCATGTCTGCCCCCACTTCCCCCCAGGACTCACCACATTCCCTTTGGCTCCATCCTCTCCAGGGGGACCTTTCTTGCCTGGGGGTCCAGCAGCTCCAGATGGGCCTGAGTCCCCCTTTTCACCAATGTCTCCCTTGGGCCCCTTTACAGAAAGAGGTCGGAGGTCAGAGTGGTCTGGACTCTCCAGGCATCAAGGATTGGCATACTTGGATTCAGGCATTGGGGTGGTCTGGGACTTTTCTGGGGTCAGGGTTCAGAGTAGCCTAGGTTGTCCAAGGGTCAAAGGTCAGAAGGAGCTGGGACTTATGACAGTGAAAGATCTGGACGGTCTAGGTGCCCACTGGTCATGTGCAAGGTCGGCCTAGCCCATGTGCTGTTCTTGAGCAAATTAGAAGAGGGGCTCCCTCAGGGCAACTCATCCTCAAGTCAGGACTCATGACTTAGATTTGAGCCCTCACCTATCTCCTGGGCCATGCAGTCTTGTGCAGTGTGCAACCTGCAGAACTGTATATAGCAGCCCTATCTGAGACCTTCCAGGTGTCCTTCCTCAAGGTAGTCAGGGATGGCGATAGGACAGGGGTGAATGGATGACCTTGGACTGCCCAGAGGTCAAAGTGGCCCAAGATGCCCAGGGGTCAGGGGTTCCCTGAGTTGGGTGCAGGGACCACATCACACAGTCACTCACCGGGATGCCTGGGGCTCCTGGAGGCCCTGGGTCTCCAGCCTCCCCTGGCTCACCCTGCAGGAGGCAAAGTGAGAGTGGGGAAAGGTCCCATCCTAGCAGACAGGGAGGGGCTCCCCAGAATGTCCCTGCCCAATAGGACTAGATTCATCTCTTCCCCCCGTGCAGCCCCTGCCTTCCCTCACTCACCTTCTCACCTACAGCGCCTGGCTGACCAACTCCTCCAGGCAGTCCTGGAGTGCCCTGGAGAGACAGCAAGGGGTAGGAGTGGGACAGTGGAATCCCAACATCCTCTTCTTAGGAAATGGGTGTCCCCATTTCTGAGCCATCCTGGCCCCCCAAGAGTTCTCACCTCTGATCCACTGGGACCTTGGGGACCCCGAGGACCTGGAGCTCCATGGGGACCCTGTGGAAGGTCAGTATTAGTATCCAGTGACCACAGCTCCCCCTCAAAAGGCCACAGTGACCACAGATACCACTCTCGATGCTTGTGACCCTCAGGGCCCTTAAAATGACAATGTCCCTCAAATGAATCTAATGCCTGCCCCCACCCTATAACCCCACCATCCTCCCGCTCCCACCTTCCTCTGGGAGCGCATACCATGGACCCGACGTCTCCGACCTCCCCTTTCTCTCCAGGAGGGCCTGGCAGCCCCTGTGGAACGAAGAACCAAGATTGGGGCACCAGGTAGGCAGAGTCAGAGGTGCCACCCCCAAACCCAGATACCCACCTGTAGTCCAGGAGGGCCAATCACCCCCACAAAGCCTCTGACTCCATCATCTCCTTTCTGCCCAAAGAGGCCTGGGGGTCCCCGGCGCCCCTGAGCCCCATCTGCTCCCTGGAAGAATACAAACAGGGGCACATTTAAGGTCTGGGTCAGGGATTAGGGTAGATTGAGTCTCAAGGGTCAAGACTGAGGTTAAGGGTTGGAGTCAGGATTCAGATTAAGTTTAGGGAGGGTCAAGGTTGAGTTGGAGTTGGGGTCCAGATTAAGGAACAGGGCTTGGGAATGAAGTCAAGGGTTGAGTCAAAGTGTTAAACAGTGAATCAGATTTGCCATCGAGGTTCAGGTCATGGGCAGGGTTCAAATGGGGTTCAGATGGAATTTAGGGTTGGGTTTGAGGTTGGAGCCAGGGTCATATTCAAAGTTTGAGTTCAGGTCTGGGGTCAGCATTGGAAGAGTAGGTCAGGGTTGGGGTTAAGGATAGGGCCGTATGTTCCTATCGTATGGTAATAAATAAACACAAAAGGACAGGTCTGGGTCAGGGCTTGGTTAAGAGATTGGAAGATAAGGCTTTTGTTTGGTTGGTTGTTTTTGTTTGTTTGTTTTTGTTTGTTTGCTTTGCTTTGCTTTGTTTTGTTTTGAGGAGTCTCACTCTGTCACCCAGGCTCGAGTGCAGTGGTGAGATCTCTGCTCACTGCAACCTCTGCCTCCCTGGTTCAAGCGATTCTCCTGCTTCAGGCTCCCGAGTAGCTGGGATTACAATCGTGTGCCGCTGTGCCTGGCTTTTTTTTTTTTTTTTTTTTTTCTCTTCTCTTTTTTTTTTTTTTTTTTTGAGATGGAGTCTCCTGGTGCAATCTCGGCTCACTGCAACCTCTGCCTCCTGGGTTCAAGCGATTCTCCTGCCTCAGCCTCCCAATTAGCTGGGATTACAGGCGCCTGCCACCACACTAATTTTCGTATTTTTAGTGGAGACGGTGTTTCACAATGTTGGCCAGGCTGGTCTTGAACTTCTGACCTCAAGTGATCCGCCCACCTCTGCCTCCCAAAGTGCTGGGATTACAAGCATGAGCCACCACGCCCAGCCAGGAAACCCACTTTCAACACCTCCTTGCTTTTCTTTTTTTTTTTTTCAGACAGAGTCTCGCTCTGTTGCCCAGGCTGGAGTGCACTCACTGCAAGCTCCGCGTCCCTGGTTCACGCCATTCTGCTGCCTCAGCCTCCCGGGTAGCTCGGACTAATGGCGCCCGCCACCACGCCCGGCTAATTTTTTGTGTTTTCAGTAGACACAGGGTTTCACCGTGTTAGCCAGGACGGTCTTGATCTCCTGACGTCGTGATCCGCCTGCCTCCGCCTCCCAAAGTGCTGGGATTACAAGGGTGAGCCACCGCGCCCGGCCTTCCTTGCTCTTCTTGCTCCAAATCCTGGGAACATTTGAATCAACAGGCGGGCATCTGTCAAACCTCCCTAGCAACTACGCCTGCGGATGGCCAACCCGACCCTGGCAGAGCGTGGGGTTTAGTTTAAGCACAGACTGCACATCGGGGACCTCATAAGGCGCCTGGGAGCATTCAAGGACACCACGCTTTTAAGGACAAGGCACTCGATCACGGGCGCCTTTACTTCGGAGCTCCGCGCTGTTGCTGGCCGAGCGTATGTAGAGTCCCAGCCCCAACTTTCCCAGGAACTGGCCGTGAGCCCTCTAGTGTGATATTTTTTGGCCTGGGCCTCAGTTTCTCCATCTGTCAATCGGGAAAGGGGAAAGCGGGCTGGAGAATCCCGACCAGGTCGGCTGTAGCCTTCGGAAGCTACGGCCCGGGGAGGCTACACCAAGGCAGGTCCGTGGGACGAAAGAACGCGCGCGCACATTGGCGCCGGTCCCGGGATGAAGGGACAGCAACGAGGAGACACTGGACCTGGCCGTTCCTCGCACGTATCTCTGACCTTCTGTGCCTCTCAAGAGAGATGCGGGAAGCATAGCCACCTCCACTGTAGCACGAAAGTCTCCGGCCAACATACCGCCACTAAGGTACACATGCGTCGAAGCCTCTCAGAGCCATTTCCGCTAACGTACTCAGGGCAACGGGCGTAAGATGGCGGACGCGCAGGCGCGAAATGCCGCAGCCGTGGGGAGGCTCCGCCTCTCACGCTTGCCTTGTATCACGTGGTAATGGCCGCTCAAAAACCGCCTTAGCAAAAAACCAGAGCGTGACCCCGTCACGTGATGGAGGACTCCCAATACGGCAAAGGGAAGGCGCCAAAAGTTCTTGTCAGATGGCGAAGGAAACTGCGAAATTCGCCATTGTCACATGATAGAGTAACCTATCGAAAGCGGAGGGAAAGGTGCCGAAGTCACGTGACTATGCACGCAAACACTCAGGCTTGTCCCACGTGATAACGCATGCCCGCCCCAACACCCCCCTACGTCTTTTCGCTCCTCCCTCCCATTTGGGTTGGGCCTGCGTCGAGGCGCAACGCGGCGTCAAAGGGGGGCGGGGCTTCAGCTGATCACGTGTTCCCGCACCTCCCCGGCGCGCGCCTGCC